CAGATATGGTAAACATGAGGAAATTAAATCTTCATCAGAGTACAAAACAAATTCTGGCCACAAAATAGAGCGAAACACCAACGTCAAAGACCTGGGAGTGATTATGTCGGAGGATCTCACCTTCAAGGACCATAACATTGTATCAATCGCATCTGCTAGAAAAATGACAGGATGGATAATGAGAACCTTCAAAACTAGGGAGGCCAAGCCCATGATGACACTCTTCAGGTCACTTGTTCTTTTCTAGGCTGGAATATTGCTGCACTCTAACAGCACCTTTCAAGGCAGGTGAAATTGCCGACCTAGAAAAATGTACAGAGAACTTTCACGGCGCGCATAACGGAGATAAAACACCTCAATTACTGGGAGCGCTTGAGGTTTCTAAACCTGTATTCCCTGGAACGCAGGAGGGAGAGATACATGATTATATACACCTGGAAAATCCTAGAGGGACTAGTACCGAACTTGCACACGAAAATCACTCACTACGAAAGCAAAAGACTTGGCAGACGATGCACCATCCCCCCAATGAAAAGCAGGGGTGTCACTAGCACGTTAAGAGACCATACAATAAGTGTCAGGGGACCGAGACTGTTCAACTGCCTCCCAGCACACATAAGGGGGATTACCAACAGACCCCTGGCAGTCTTCAAGCTGGCACTGGACAAGCACCTAAAGGCAGTTCCTGATCAGCCGGGCTGTGGCTCGTACGTTGGTTTGCGTGCAGCCAGCAGCAACAGCCTGGTTGATCAGGCGCTGATCCACCAGGAGGCCTGGTCACAGACCGGGCCGCGGGGGCGTTGACCCCCGAAACTCTCTCCAGGTAAACTCCAGGTAATGCACACCCAACTAATATATTCCTCTATACAACCATGTATCATGTCAAAATAAACTTATTCTTATTCTTCAACCTGACTGTCTCCTATTTCCCATACGCTCTACAACCCCTATCCTTGCCATGTGATACCCCATCATATGGGATGGTTTTCCTGCCATACTCCATCACCCGGGATGGTTTTCCATGCCATACTCCATCACCCGGGATGGTTTTCCATGCCATACTCCATCACCGGGATGGTTTTTCCATGCCATACTCCATCACTCGGGATGGTTTTCCATGCCATACTCCATCACCCGGGATGGTTTTCCATGCCATACTCCATCACCCGGGATGGTTTTCCATGCCATACTCCATCACCCGGGATGGTTTTCCATGCCATACTCCATCACCCGGGATGGTTTTTTCCCTGCCATACTCCATCACCCGGGATGGTTTTCCATGCCATACTCCATCACCCGGGATGGTTTTCCTGCCATACTCCATCACTCGGGATGGTTTTCCTGCCATACTCCATCACCCGGGATGGTTTTCCATGCCATACTCCATCACCCGGGATGGTTTTCCATGCCATACTCCATCACCCGGGATGGTTTTCCTGCCATACTCCATCACTCGGGATGGTTTTTCCCTGCCATACTCCATCACTCGGGATGGTTTTCCATGCCATACTCCATCACCCGGGATGGTTTTCCATGCCATACTCCATCACTCGGGATGGTTTTCCTGCCATACTCCATCACCCGGGATGGTTTTCCTGCCATACTCCATCACTCGGGATGGTTTTCCTGCCATACTCCATCACCCGGGATGGTTTTCCATGCCATACTCCATCACTCGGGATGGTTTTCCATGCCATACTCCATCACCCGGGATGGTTTTCCATGCCATACTCCATCACTCGGGATGGTTTTCCTGCCATACTCCATCACTCGGGATGGTTTTCCTGTCATACTCCATCACCCGGGATGGTTTTCCTGCCATACTCCATCACCCGGGATGGTTTTCCTGCCATACTTCATCACTCGGGATGGTTTTCCTGTCATACTCCATCACCCGGGATGGTTTTCCTGCCATACTCCATCACCCGGGATGGTTTTCCTGTCATACTCCATCACCCGGGATGGTTTTCCTGCCATACTCCATCACCCGGGATAGTTTTCCTGTCATACTCCATCACCCGGGATGGTTTTCCTACCATACTCCATCACTCGGAATGGTTTTCCTGCTAGACTCGGCAGACAATGCAACATCTCCCCAATGAAAAGCAGGGGTGTCACCAGCACGTTAAGAGACAACACAATAAGTGTCAGGAGCCCAAGACTGTTCAACTGCCTCCCAGCATACATAAGGGGGATTACCAATAGACCCCTGGCTGTCTTCAAGCAGGCACTGGACAAGCACCTAAAGTCGGTACCTGACCAGCCGGGCTGTGGCTCGTACGTTGGATTGCGTGCAGCCCGGATGGTTTTACCTGGAGTTTACCTGGAGAGAGTTCCGGGGGTCAACGCCCCCGCGGCCCGGTCTATGACCAGGCCTCCTGGTGGATCAGAGCCTGATCAACCAGGCTGTTACTGCTGGCTGCACGCAAACCAACGTACGAGCCCCAGCCAGGCTGGTCAGGTACCGACTTTAGGTGCTTGTCCAGTGCCAGCTTGAAGACTGCCAGGGGTCTATTGGTAATCCCCCTTATGTATGCTGGGAGGCAGTTGAACAGTCTCGGGCCCCTGACACTTATTGTATGGTCTCTTAACGTGCTAGTGACACCCCTGCTTTTCATTGGGGGGATGTTGCATCGTCTGCCAAGTCTTTTGCTTTCGTTGTGAGTGATTTTCGTGTGCAAGTTCGGTACTAGTCCCTCTAGGATTTTCCAGGTGTATATAATCATGCATCTCTCCCGCCTGCGTTCCAGGGAATACAGGTTCAGGAACTTCAAGCGCTCCCAGTAATTGAGGTGTTTTATCTCCATTATGCGTGCCGTGAAGGTTCTCTGTACATTTTCTAGGTCAGCAATTTCACCTGCCTTGAAAGGTGCTGTTAGTGTGCAGCAATATTCCAGCCTAGATAGAACAAGTGACCTGAAGAGTGTCATCATGGGCTTGGCATCCCTAGTTTTGAAGGTTCTCATTATCCATCCTGTCATTTTTCTAGCAGCTGCGATTGATACAATGTGATGGTCCTTGAAGGTGAGATTCTCCGACATGATCACTCCCAGGTCTTTGACGTTGGTGTTTCGCTCTATTTTGTGGCCAGAATTTTTGTACTCTGATGAAGATTTAATTTCCTCGTGTTTACCATATCTGAGTAATTGAAATTTCTCATCGATGAACTTCATATTGTTTTCTTTTCCTGCTATACTCCACCCGAGATGGTTTTCCTGCCATACTCCATCACCCGGGATGGTTTTCCTTCCATACTCCATCACCCGGGATGGTTTTCCTGTCATACTCCATCACCTGGGATGGTTTTCCTGTCATACTCCATCACCCGGGATGGTTTTTCTACCATACTTCACCACCCGTGATGGTTTTCCTGCCATACTCCATCACCCGGGATGATTTTCTTGTCAAAATCCATCACCCGGGATGGTTTTTCTGCCATACTCCATCACCCGTGATGGTTTTTCTGCCATACTCCATCACCCGGGATGGTTTTCCTGTCATACTCCATCACCCTGGATGGCTTTTCTGCCATACTCCATCACCCGTGATGGTTTTTCTGCTATACTCCATCACCCGGGATGGTTTTCCTGTCATACTCCATCACCCTGGGTGGTTTTCCTGTCATACTCCATCTCCCGGGATGGTTTTCCTGTCATACTCAACATGCTCATTGGGGAAGCCAGGTATAGATACTCAAAAATTAGGGACAAAGGAATTAATGTACAATTGCTATGGATCTCATCACACATTGGATTACTCCTTCATGATAAAGTGATATGTTAGCCAAGAAGAGTATCCAGAAGGAGAATGTAGAATATAACTTTGGTATAACTGTGTCTAGCATTAGGAATAATATTAGGAGAGAAGTAAATAATGAAAATGATTGTTATAGGAATGCAGTTAGAAGCCTGAGTAGATCTATAACCCACTATGATAACATGAACGTAGATAAGTATGTTTATGGAGCAACTTGCAATGTGAACAGACTGACTGATGTTGTAGTGGCCAGGCTTAGGCTTGGTTACAAGTACTTCTGGCAGTTTGGGAGACACACAGATGATGATCAAACTAAATGTAAATTATGTGATCAGGCATATGGTCACTCTCTTGAACACTATGTGCTTAATTGTCCACTTATTGAGGAATACAGAGACAGACAGTATAATAACCTATGTGACATGTCAAGATATCTTATTAATGAAAATAAGATACCAGATATACTAAGCAAATTTCCTAAATTTGCTTGTAACAGATAAGTGAACTATAGATATGTAGATATAAATCCATATGTATTCCTGTTAACCCTTTGGGGCCTAGTTCATAGGCCTTTTGTGTATCCATATGCTTATTTATTATTATTAAAGATTCGCCGGTATTCTCCCGGCCCGGGCCTTGTCCAAGTGGTGGCCCGGCCATCCATATGCTCTTGCGCTACCGTCCACAGGATGGATATGGGGTGCACAATAAACTAGCCACTTCGGTGGCAAAATCTAAAAATCTAAAATCCCGGGATGGTTTTCCTGCCAGTCTCCATCACCTGAGATGATTTTTATTTATTTATTTATTTATTTATTTATTTATTTATTTATTTATTTATTTATTTATGTCTTTGCAAATGGTACATTGAGATTATGTATTTACAACAATGGGTTGCAGTGCAGAGAGCCTCTATTATGCCTAGGCATTATGGGCCATACTCCATCACACGGGATGGTTTTCCTGTCATAATCCATCAAAAGCTGTGATTTTCCTGTCATTTTTGTATAACAAAAAAATTCTACATTGCAATTTAATTAATATATTAAGAAGGTATAGTAGAACGTGTTGTAGATAGTAACGGTGGCAGTGTCAACCTTTCTAACCCAGCCTCACCGATATAATATTATCTTGTTATAAAACTGCTTATACTTCAATATTTTTATTTTTTATTGGCTGCTAATGTATGTATTTTTAATATTATTATACATGCTTACATCTGCTATTAATTTTTTTTAGTTAGTGAGTGTATTCATGAGTTATTAGTTTATTACGGTGATATTAGCGTGGAGACTAGTAGAGTAGAGGAGGTAAACATAGGAGGTGGAAGAGTGCTTCATATACTCCATCATGGAAGAGTCTATCACTATCAAAGTGGAAGATCCACACACTCCTGAGGAAGCTGTTATTAATGCAGAGATCACTGTTAATAACGACCTAGAGATGACTGCTCCGGGAAACGTGTGTGACATAGAGTGCAGTGCCTCAACACATTCCTATAACGATTATTTTGACACTATGCTGAAGCCTACTTTTGGGTATGTTAATTCAGTGGAAAAAGCGAATGAAACGTTAACGCTATTTCAGGAACGTACAATGTCTCGATTTGTTTGTTACAAAGTGCAAAGGAGTTTTGGAAGAAATGGTAAGTTATTGTATTTTATGTACAATCAAAAGCCCACAATTATAAGTTTATTTAGGTACAGGTACACATAAGTACAATTATCATACATAGTGTAAATTACCTAGAATAACCCCCCCCCTCCCTCCAAAAAATGTAAGTGACTTATTTCCAGTTGTATCTGCTAGGAATTGATAATGTTGCACAATATGTGAAACCTTTTTAAAATTCGAGACATAACAACTCCTAAAATACATTATGCTAAAATTAGTGTATATTGTAAATCAGGTCTAAGATACAAGTGTCTTGCTCATTTAGCTACCCCTCTCTCTATTTTTTTTTTTGTACATTTAAGAATTACTCAATAATCTATGTCTAGTTCTTATGTAGTCTTTAAACATTCGGATTAGTTCGCCCAAAATTCACAGCATGCTAGAGGCTTTCTTTTGTTCCTAACAGTATTTTACTTCATATAACTAGTACATACATTATACTGCATAAAAGAAATAAGGTATTTGTATGACTGCCTAGTGGCTCAGTTGGTAGCATCCTCATCTCGCACACTGATAGAGATAGAACTGGCATAGGTGAAATGTTGGGCATGTTTCTTTGCACCTACAGCTCATTTACCTAGTGGTAAATAGGTACTTGGGTGTTAGTTGACTATTATGGGTTGCATCGTAGGTGAGAAAATTAAAGGACCCCAGTGGAAATGAGGCTGACAGTCCCCCAATGATACATGGACTATATGGGGTTTTCCATTGTGGTTAATTCTCAAGGTTAAAAATCTGAACAAAATCTTAATGTTAATGATCTTGCTGACATTCCTCAAGTCACTGATGGGTCTAGAGAAAGCTTGATATTATCCTTCAGTGGAGGGTTCTGTATGTAACTAGCACCAGCAAGTATGTACTCTTGTCATTTTATTAATTTAATTGGTTTTTATAGTGTATTTATGAATTATTTATTCCTATAATAGGTCATGTACAGTTCCTGGGCCAGAAATCTGTTAACATTTTATGTTATAATTAACAACCATATTGTTGTTGCATGGGAAAAATAGTTATTTGTTTTGGAAATTGTTTTATGTAGGTAATAAGAGGCTAAATAAAAATACCATTCATTAGGGTTGGGAGACAGTAATGGTGAAGCTGGAGGTGCTGTCCTGGGAGACAGTAATGGTGAAGCTGGAGGTGCTGTCCTGGGAGACAGTAAGGGTGAAGCTGGAGGTGCTGTCCTGGGAAACAGTAATGGTGAAGCTGGAGGTGCTGTCGTGGGAGACAGTAATGGTGAAGCTGGAGGTGCTGTCCTGGGAGACAGTAATGGTGAAGCTGGAGGTGCTGTCCTGGGAGACAGTAATGGTGAAGCTGGAGGTGCTGTCCTGGGAGACAGTAATGGTGAAGCTGGAGATTTTGTCCAGGTAGTCGGGAATTATACACAGGAAAGAATACATATAAATGACCTCATAGGGGACAGGAACCATAGTGGGGAAACAAGTGTAGTCAAATATAAGATAAAACCAATATTGCAAACTAGAAATACCACAGGAAATAGCAAACAAGAGGACTCCACTAGCTATAGTGAGGATATATTACCAAAAACAACTGGTGGGAGCTCAATTGTTGGTGCTAGGGAGGATAGGAATAAGACAGGGAAACATGCACCAACAGGGAATACAGTCACAGAAACCCAAGGCAAATGGAAACCAAGCCTGTGCACATACTATGCACTTGGTATCTGCAGACATGGGAAATCTGGAAAAACAGATGGGACGTGCAACTATGACCACCCTAGAAAATGCCATGCCCATATGACAACAGGAAAATGCAAATTCCCTTCCTGTAAGCTTTTTCACCCTGAAATGTGTACCTCTTCAGTACAGGAAAGACTGTGCTATAACTTAAATTGCCAGGCGCACCATCTAAAGGGTACAAAAAGATACAAAACATCCAGGCCATGGGAAAACCTGGGTAGCCACAGCCACTCAAGAGGGAGAGGTTTTTTAGTGCCAGGAAGGAAAAAAAACTGGCAGGAAATGGCAGAAATCGTACACAAAATCCAGTCATTCCTGGAGTGGAACCACAGTCGATGGCCTCCACTCCAAACCAACAGATACAGATACTAATGCCAGAAAAAAAAATCCCCCCCCAGTACCAACAATACCACCAGTCAGATGACATTCTCCTTTGCAAATATACAGGGTCTAAAGCCAGCAACAAACAACAAAATACCTTTCATCCGTGGACTGCTTGCAGAGGCAAAGGCAATGTTCGCGGCTTTCACTGAGACCCACATAAAGGATCACTTGGACAACGAAATATGGATCCCAGGTTACAACCTATACAGATGTGACAGAGTGAACAGGCAAAAGGGGGGGGTTGGCCTGTACATTGCAGAGTCACTTGTTTGCACAGAACTGCTAAATGCCTCAAATGATGTAGTGGAAGTTTTAGCAGTAAAGGTCGAGAACCAAAACCTAGTCATTGTGGTAGTCTACAAGCCTCCGGATGCAACATCCCAGCAATTCCAGGAACAGCTGTTAAAAATTGACCACTGTCTGGAAAATCTTCCAGCTCCTGCACCCAACATCTTGCTCCTGGGGGATTTCAACTTAAGGCACCTAAAATGGAGGAATATAGCAAATAATATTGTTGCAGTAACAACACCAGGAGGCAGCTCTGATGAAAACTCACACTCACACGAGCTTTTAAATCTCTGCACAAAATTCAATTTAAACCAGCAAATAATAGAGCCTACTAGACTGGAGAATACACTAGACCTCATCTTCACTAACAATGATGAGCTGATAAGAAATGTCACCATATCAAAAACAATATACTCAGATCACAACATAATTGAGGTTCAGACATGTATGCGTGGAGCCCCAGACCGACATAATGAGACTAGTCACGAGGGAGCATTCACCAAATTCAACTTCAATAACAAAAACATAAAGTGGGACCAAGTAAACCAAGTCCTAACCGATATAAGCTGGGAAGATATACTAAGCAACACAGACCCCAACGTATGCCTAGAACAGATTAACTTGGTGGCACTCGATGTATGCACAAGGCTTATTCCTCTAAGAAAAAGGAGGAGTAGATGTAAAATAGAAAGAGACAGGCGCTCCCTTTACAGGCGATGGAAAAGAATAACAGAGCGGCTAAAAGAGGTCAATATATCTGAAATGCGTAGGGAGACACTGGTCAGAGAAATAGCAAGCATCGAACTCAAGCTAAAAGAATCTTATAGGAGTCAGGAATCGCGGGAAGAACTAAAAGCCATAAATGAAATCGAAAGAAACCCAAAGTATTTCTTCTCCTATGCCAAATCAAAGTCGAGAACAACATCCAGTATTGGGTCCCTACTTAAACAAGATGGGTCCTACACAGATGACAGCAAGGAAATGAGTGAGCTACTCAAGTCCCAATATGACTCAGTTTTTAGCAAGCTGCTAACCAGACTGAGAGTCGAAGATCAAAATGAATTTTTTTATGAGAGAGCCACAAAATTTGGTTAACACAAGCCTATCCGATGTTATCCTGATGCCAAATGACTTCGAACAAGCGATAAATGACATGCCCATGCACTCTGCCCCAGGGCCAGACTCATGGAACTCCGTGTTCATCAAGAACTGCAAGAAGCCCCTATCACGAGCCTTTTCCATCCTATGGAGAGGGAGTATGGACATGGGGGTCGTCCCACAGTTACTAAAAACAACAGACATAGCCCCACTCCACAAAGGGGGCAGTAAAGCAACAGCAAAGAACTACAGACCGATAGCACTAACATCCCATATCATAAAAATCTTTGAAAGGGTCCTAAGAAGCAAGATCACCACCCATCTAGAAACCCATCATTTTACACAACCCAGGGCAACATGGGTTTAGAACAGGTCGCTCCTGTCTGTCTCTACTATTGGATCACTATGACAAGGTCCTAAATGCACTAGAAGATAAAAAGAATGCAGATGTAATATATATAGACTTTGCAAAAGCCTTCGACAAGTGTGACCATGGCGTAATAGCGCACAAAATGCGTGCTAAAGGAATAACAGGAAAAGTCGGTCGATGGATCTATAATTTCCTCACTAACAGAACACAGAGAGTAGTCGTAAACAGAGTAAAGTCCGAGGCAGCTACGGTGAAAAGCTCTGTTCCACAAGGCACAGTACTCGCTCCCATCTTGTTCCTCATCCTCATATCCGACATAGACAAGGATGTCAGCCACAGCACCGTGTCTTCCTTTGCAGATGACACCCGAATCTGCATGACAGTGTCTTCCATTGCAGACACTGCAAGGCTCCAGGCGGACATCAACCAAATCTTTCAGTGGGCTGCAGAAAACAATATGAAGTTCAACGATGAGAAATTTCAATTACTCAGATATGGTAAACACGAGGAAATTAAATCTTCATCAGAGTACAAAACAAATTCTGGCCACAAAATAGAGCGAAACACCAACGTCAAAGACCTGGGAGTGATCATGTCGGAGGATCTCACCTTCAAGGACCATAACATTGTATCAATTGCATCTGCTAGAAAAATGACAGGATGGATAATGAGAACCTTCAAAACTAGGGAGGCCAAGCCCATGATGACACTCTTCAAGTCACTTGTTCTATCTAGGCTGGAATATTGCTGCACACTAACAGCACCTTTCAAGGCAGGTGAAATTGCTGACCTAGAAAATGTACAGAGAACCTTCACGGCGCGCATAACAGAGATAAAACACCTCAATTACTGGGAGCGCTTGAAGTTCCTGAACCTGTATTCCCTGGAATGCAGACAGGAGAGATACATGATTATATACACCTGGAAAATCCTAGAGGGACTAGTACCGAACTTGCACACGAAAATCACTCACTACGAAAGCAAAAGACTTGGCAGACGATGCAACATCCCCCAATGAAAAGCAGGGGTGTCACTAGCACGTTAAGAGACCATACAATAAGTGTCAGGGGCCCGAGACTGTTCAACTGCCTCCCAGCATACATAAGGGGGATTACCAACAGACCCCTAGCAGTCTTCAAGCTGGCACTAGACAAGCACCTAAAGTCGGTTCCTGACCAGTCGGGCTGTGGCTCGTACGTTGGTTTGCGTGCAGCCAGCAGCAACAGCCTGGTTGATCAGGCTCTGATCCACCAGGAGGCCTGGTCACAGACCGGGCTGCGGGGGCATTGACCCCCGGAACTCTCTCCAGGTAAACTCCAGGTAGGTAAATCTTTGTAAATATGTAAGTATATTGTGCAAAGTTGTCAGTTATGTTTTTAACAAATAGGAAAGAAGCTTTATCTTGATAAGTAAAAATAATGTAATGTGGCCCAACCCAACCAAACCTAACCTAACCTAGTAAGTAAGTAAGTAAGTAAGTTTATTCAGGTATACACAAATACAGTTAGATAGAATTATCATACATAGCAGCATATGTGTAGAGAACCTAGGATAACCCAAAAAAGTCAGACAGAGTGACTTATTGGTTGGTTAAGGTTGGTTAGGTTAAGCTGGGTAACATCAGGTTACCTGGAGTTTACCTGGAGAGAGGCCTGTGACCAGGCCTCCTGGTGGATCAGCGCCTGATCAACCAGGCTGTTGCTGCTGGCTGCACGCAAACCAACGTACGAGCCACAGCCCGGCTGATCAGGAACTGACTTTAGGTGCTTGTCCAGTGCCAGCTTGAAGACTGCCAGGGGTCTGTTGGTAATCCCCCTTATGTGTGCTGGGAGGCAGTTGAACAGTCTCGGGCCCCTGACACTTATTGTATGGTCTCTTAACGTGCTAGTGACACCCCTGCTTTTCATTGGGGGGATGGTGCATCGTATGCCAAGTCTTTTGCTTTCGTAGTGAGTGATTTTCGTGTGCAAGTTCGGTACTACTCCCTCTAGGATTTTCCAGGTGTATATAATCATGTATCTCTCCCTCCTGCGTTCCAGGGAATACAGGTTTATATTATGTTAAGCTATTAACATAATATAACATAGGTTATATTAAAAAATAAAGTCTTTTCCCATAGGCACTAAATATGTACTGTACATATCCCCATTGCATTTGATCTTTGATATTTATTCTTACAATAAGGTTTATGGTAAATATGTACAGTAGGTCAGTCTTAATATTTAACATATTATTTAATACAGCATTATCCATGTTTAGCAATTTTACCTTGCACCCCAAGGAAGGTATAAAGTACACATTGTAAAATTTAGCCACATTGGGAGATTTGCTTCATGGTGAGACTACAGGATGTACCAGACACTGAAATGCATTTAAAAATTATAATCAGTCTATAAACACAGTGTAAATACCATAAATACTTCAATACCTGTGAGGAAAAACAACAAATACTATATATATAACATGCTGTACATTTTAGCGCTATGCAGAATTTTGTGATTTTTGTAATAGTGTGAGTTGACTTTCCTATATGCAGATTAAGGTTTAAAAGAAATATCACTGTATGGCCATTCAGATTGATCTTAGAGGATATGTGTTGAATTTTAATATGGTTATTTGTTAAAACAAGCTATTTCAGTCAAAGCAAATTTATATTTTATATAATAGCTATAATGTCTACTATTAAACTGCTTAACATAATCAAGAATTTTTTTCAGATTGGTGTGCAGATAACCATAAAATTCTCTGGCATCAAGATGAACAAAAGATTAAAACTGAAAACTACACTCCAATGTATGATGGCATCCCATACATTCTCCTTGGCAGCAAACTATTAGAATGTCAATATGGAATTGATAGAAATGTTTACCAGAAACAGAAGCACTACGCAAAAAGAAATGTAAGCATGGAGTTTCCTAATTTTCAGTCTTGGAGTGAGCAGCAATATACCATTTATGAAGGGTTACAGGGAAACCAGTTAACTAGACTTGAGTTCTGGAAGTGGGAAGCACAGTGGTTACACTCTGAAGCATAGGTGGGGGATGTTGCTATTTGGAAGGTCATTTGAATGTAACATTAATGTACTTCTGGAAAGTCAGATAGACAAGTTATGCTGAATGTGTTTTGGTTACCCTGCCTTGGTGGGAGGAGACCTGACTTATGAAGTGCTATCAAAAAGTTCCTGGACTGCCATGAAAAAAAAAAGTGTATAGGCTTGCCTGATCAACTAGTTGAAGTTGTCTCCCTTGAAGTACAGCACCTGTACTCTCTTTGGGAGACTCTACACTGTACACTGATCCTATCACCTTTGCCACTTCTCAGAACATTTCAGAAGCTCTTCTTCCCTAATGGCATCTAGCATGGCCTGCAGTACGAACTTAAATCTCCTCTGTCATGTGTGCACACACACTCATACACTTCTGCACACGCACTTGTGTGCTCATGCACACTCACATACACACAGGTATGATAAAGCTCATGGAGCAGGGGGAGTGACCTGGTAATGACCAGTGAAGAGGTGGGGACAGGAGCTGTGGCTCAACCCCTGCAATCACACTCAGGCGAGTACAATTAGGTGAGTACACACATATTTACATTATGTATATTTATTTCCTAGGTAGTAGGCTGGTAGACAGCAACCACCCAGGGAGATACTACCATCCTGCCAAGTGAGTGTAAAACAGAAGCCTGTATGTAATTGTTTTACATGATGGTAGGATTGCTAGTGTCTTTTTTCTGACTCATAAACATGCAAGATTTCAGGTATGTCTTGCTACTTCTGCTTACGCTTAGGTCATGCTACACATGCATGTACCAGCATATATATACACATATCCCCAGAGGTGTCGTAAGGCGGGGGTGGGGGGCGGACCGCCCCGGGTGACACCATTTAGGGGGTGACACCATAGAGCCTCTAAAGAAGGTAACACTAATGACCAAAACCATGCTGCACCAACCTAAGAGAAAAATTCTGTTTCTATATAGTCTTTTATAGGATTACACAGTACAAATAGGCCTATATAGGGAAAATCATTGATTTTGATGATATGATAGATGATTTTGCAGGATTGAAGGCAAGGAAATGAAATGTCAGATTCTTTGAGATGTTACCTGTACTCAGGATTAAATCGGAACTAGTGTTTTTCTTTATTCTTCAAGCTTTTTTTTCATTGTTGAAGATGAAAACATGTAGGATCTGTTGCCTATACTCAAAGTGGTATTTGAGTTTATGTTTCCTCAATATTACTACGATTATTTATTTTATCATTAAGGGTTGTTGAGGTGGTTCGAACATGTAGAGAGAATGGAGCGAAACAGAATGACTTCAAGAATGTATCAGTCTGTAGCGGAAGGAAGGCGGGGTAGGGGTCGGCCTAGGAAAGGTTGGAGGGAGGGGGTAAAGGAGGTTTTGTGTGCGAGGGGCTTGGACTTCCAGCGGGCATGTGTGAGCGTGTTTGATAGGAGTGAATGGAGACAAATGGTTTTTAATACTTGATGTGCTGTTGGAGTGTGAGCAAAGTAACATTTATGAAGGGATTCAGGGAAACCGGCAGGCTGGACTTGAGTCCTGGAGATGGGAAGTACAGTGCCTGCACTCTGAAGGAGGAGTGTTAATGTTGCAGTTTAAAAAACTGTAGCGTAAAACACCCTTCTGGCAAGACAGTGAATGATGATGAAAGTTTTTCTTTTTCGGGCCACCCTGCCTTGGTGGGAATCGGCTTTTTGTTAATAAAACAAAATTAATAATAACAATTAATAAAGTTCTCATTACTAAACATTACTCACTGGTCATGCAGCAGTTATGTAACTGGAGTTTACTACCCCTATCCCCCGCCCTTGGATTTCATGGGGATGACACCAAAGATGCTGCCCTGGGTGATACCAATGATTCCATCCCGGGTCACACCAACCCTAGCGACGCCTCTGCATACCCCTCTGGGTTTCCTTACTAGTTCTTGTTTACAGTGGTACCTTAGGATACGAAATTAATTCGTTCCAGAAGGCTGTTTGAGTGCCGATACCAAACGAATTTGTTCCCGTAAGGAATAATGTAAATTAGATTAATCTGTTTCAGACCCCAAAAAATGCACTTACAAAAGCACTTACATAATTGTTCGAGTTTTGAGTTGTTCATATCCCGAGGTACCACTGTATTTCCTCTTATCTCTACGGGGAAGTGGAACAGAATTCTTCCTCCATAAGCCATGCATGTCGTAAGAGGCAACTAAAATGCCGGGAGCAAGGGGCTAGTAAGCCCTTTCTCCTGTATATATTACTAAATTTATAAAGAGAAACTTTTTTTTTGGGGGGGGGCACCCTGCCTCAGTGGGATATGGCCAGTTTATTGAAAGAAGAAGTATATTTATTTATTCATTTATTGATGTATTTATTTATTCAATTATCTTGAACACAGTAACATGTACCAGTGAGTGTAACACTGTTTTGAATTATAATTACTATATGTAGTCTGCAGGCCTACATTGTCATCACAACATAGCTGATAAGACACTTGATGATTTTCACATTGTACATCCTAACAGGTAGAATTGTTCAGTCTTTTTGAACATCATTAATGGATTCCTAACTCTGTGCACAAATAACCTCAAAATGAAGAAACTTTTCGCCACACAGTGGCTTCATCAGTCCAGTACAAATCAGAAGGGTGTCAGGGTAGGAGGAGTTTGAGGTAATTAGTCCCTCAGCCTGGAGTCAATGTGTTCAGTCCATCAATCTTGTAGAAAGTACAACATAGGGCCGTAGAAGAGGTTTATATACTGTAGTCAGGTGAGGCCTCTTCCTGCTTTGCCTCACCTGACTACAGTATATAAGCCTCTTCTATGGCCCTATGTTGTACTTTCCACAAGATTGATGGACTGAACACATCGACTCCAGGGTGAGGGATTGATTACCTCAAACACCTCCTATCCTTACACCCTTCTGATTTGTATTGGACTGATGAAGCCACTGTGTGGCAAAATGTTTCTTCAATAAAGATTCCCATTAGTGTCTCAATCTTCAACGTGTTGGTTTTAAACCATTTATCACACCTCAAAATGAGTTAAGAATTTTTTTAATGGATGTAAGAAATGGCATAAAATATAATTGCAATAAAGCATAATCATACTCCCTGTGCTCAGACTATCACAAATGCTAAAGGCACATTTGGTTAATACATATTTACACAATTTCCATCCACCATCTCGTAAGATCCTAATTACAGTTGGGTTAAATAGACAAGGCTCCACAAATCAATATAGCAAAATTCAGTGACCTGCAACTTATGCAGTGAAAGGGTTAAATATGTAAATTCTTTGAAGTGCTTTAAAATATTAAACACTGATTATCCTTTTCAGGTAGAGTTGCTGAAGATTAAATACCGCCGGCTCCCTGTCTCCAAGAAAGTTAATTGTCCGGCAAAAATAGTAATGAAGGATGTTGTAAAGTTTCCTATGTTTAAGGTATTACAGAATACATTTTTGGAGTGGTTTTAGGGATTCACAATCCCTAATAACTTAAATTTCCGTTTTGTCTTGTGTTGTTCAACTTAATCTAATATGTACAGTACATCTTTTAATTCAGCTATATTATGTTATAGTGATGCCAAGATGTATTAATGAAGTACATAATAGTTTTAATTTTGTTTGCTTATAAATATAAAATACTGTACCTATACTCAACATTGAGTGATGCCAATTTATTTTGTAACACAACTGCTAATTTAATTTAATCATTACAAGTTTTACCCCTTCTGTATACATTAAGAAATTTGAAAAGAGGAACTTTAGTTTTTCTATTTAAATCACCCTGCCTCGGTGGGATATGGCCGGTTTGTTAAAAAAAAAATTTTTTACTTGAAGAATGTTATAACTTGAAATTTTTATAAAGACATACAAAGTATTAGTCAGAGGGCAGAAGAGGGGTTGTTGAGGTGGTTTGGTCGTTTAGAGAGAATGGATCAAAGTAGAATGACATGGAAAGCATATAAATCTATAGGGGAAGGAAGGCGGGGTAGGGGTCGTCCTCGAAAGGGTTGGAGAGAGGGGGTAAAGGAGGTTTTGTGGGCGAGGGGCTTGGACTTCCAGCAAACGTGCGTGAGCGTGTTAGATAGGAGTGAATGGAGACGAATGGTACTTGGGACCTGACGATCTGTTGGAGTGTGAGCAGGGTAACATTTAGTGAAGGGATTCAGGGAAACTGGTTATTTTCATATAGTCGGACTTGAGTTCTGGAAATGGGAAGTACAATGCCTGCACTTTAAAGGAGGGGTTTGGGATATTGGCAGTTTGGAGGGATATGTTGTGTATCTTTATATGTGTATGCTTCTAAACTGTTGTATTCTGAGCACCTCTGCAAAAACAGTGATAATGTGTGAGTGTGGTGAAAGTGTTCAATGATGATGAAAGTATTTTCTTTTTGGGGATTTTCTTTCTTTTTTTTGGGTCACCCTGCCTCGGTGGGAGACGGCCGACTTGTTGAAAAAAAAAAAAAATACATTACAGTAGATTCTTACATATCGCATGGGTTATGTTCTTGACATTGACATTATATATAAAACCTTGATATGTTAAGTGAAGAATATTCTGGATAAAGTAGAGTTGCATTCTTGACACCTCTACAACACTAAACCATATTTTTTAATTTATCTCATCAGAAGTAATAAAGTTTTTGTTATCTTACATTGTAGTTATCATTGTTTGTTGACGTAGTGTAATGGATTAGCACAGTGCATGTTAATAAGTACATATGGTATGTATTGCTAAAAAGCTATATAAAATAATTTTTTCATAGCTTAAATATGGTTGGTCTTTCATATTGATCTTGATGTCATTGGAGAGAGTTACTGTGGCCCTATTGGGCTGCAGTAGATGGTTCCAGTGTTGTTATTAATAGTCATAGTTCCAGGGCAGGAAAATTCCCAGCAGTAGCATGGGTGGCATACACATTTTTTATGTTAAATTTTATATTGTGCAGAGAGCTACACAATTTAAAATGTTTAACCATCCATAAGTAAGTAAATACTCTTGTGCAGGCTTACCTTCCTGTTCGCACACTTTTTTTATAGTACTACTTTTCTTTTTTTTTGCCTTTTATTAACCTGATCATAAGGGCATTAAGTGGAGCACATTACTTTGTTGTCTGTTCACTAAACATGGTAATTTTTCTATATTATTTATCTGTATTAACCATTTAGAGATTCAATTCAGCAGGTCACAATCAGGGTTACTCATTGCATGCTCATTTATCTTCACCTCATTGTCTCAAATTGAATGAATAGTTCATTCTCTAACACCAAACACATGTCCCATTTCCATGACCTTATCATCACATGTAATCATATCTATCAACTCCAGATATTTTCAAAGAGGCATAGCTTCCTCAGACTTAATGGTGCAGATAATCTGGACAATTTCTATGGTTTCTCAGTGCTCTATGTGTAGGAAAATTGTGAAAAACTATTTTTATTATAGGTTAAAAGAACACATTTTTCTAAGTAGGATAAAACAAAGATAAATAAAATGTGATAATAACTTACCATTTTATGGTACGTTGAGGTTGGCAGAATACAACATGCTGCCAGCAACATTGTCATGGTACACAAAGTTTGTTTCTAAGGCAAATAGCTGAAGTCTTTTTTTTTAAATTCAGTGTCTGACACTATGTGCACTAGTTTCTTATGATACGAGATGTTTCTCAAGTGTTTTAGTACTCAAAACTTAGGAAACAGTTTAGCCTGGCATAGCCCCACATGGAATACAGTATTTTACAGTGAACAAGACACTCCGGTGTCGAGGACATTACCCCCCCCCCCCCACTCCTCCCAATTTTGACTGGCTAAATTAAAAAAAAAAAAGATAAATGGTACTTTGGCTTCCAAGACTAAATAAATTTTCAAGACTTTTTTTTTGGGGGGGGGGGGGAAATAGCATCTTCAAAGTCATAAAATACAGTATACAATGGAAGAAATTACAATAAAACGTGTGATTGCAAATACGTACGTAAAAATACCACAGTGAAAACATAAAATAAAACCTGAGTGCTTTCGTGTGCTGATGCACATCTTCAGAGGACTAGGAAGAAGAGGCAAGAGAAGCACATTTTAAATGTTAAACCCTAAGGTGACACCTCACTCAGAGAAGGTGACATCATCCAGTGAGGTAATACCTCACAAAAGCCTGTGCTACTCATACATTTGTCTAACATCAAAACAAATTGTTCATTTCACAAAGAACACTCACTGTATTTTTGTGAAAAATATTTTTACCTTTAAAGGTAAAGGGGATAAAAGAGAGTGCAGAAATTATAGGGGAATAAGTCTGTTGAGTATACCTGGTAAAGTGTATGGTAGAGTTATTATTGAAAGAATTAAGAGTAAGACGGAGAATAGGATAGCAGATGAACAAGGAGGCTTTAGGAAAGGTAGGGGGTGTGTGGACCAGGTGTTTACAGTGAAACATATAAGTGAACAGTAATTAGATAAGGATTAAGAGGTTTTTGTGGCATTTATGGATTTGGAAAAGGCATATGACAGGATGGATAGGGGGGCAATGTGGCAGATGTTGCAGGTGTATAGTATAGGAGGTAGGTTACTGAAAGCAATGAAGAGTTTTTATGAGGATAGTGAGGCTCAGGTTAGAGTATGTAGGAGAGAAGGAGATTATTTCACAGCAAAAGTAGGTCTTAGACAAGGATGTGTGATGTCACCGTGGTTGTTCAATATATTTATAGATGGGGTTGTAAGAGAAGTGAATGTGAGGGTCTTGGCAAGAGGTGTGGAGTTAAAAGATAAAGAATCAAATACAAAGTGGGAGTTGCCACAGTTGCTCTTTGCTGATGACACTGTGCTTTTGGGAGATTCTGAAGAGAAGCTGCAGAGGTTGGTGGATGAATTTGGTAGGGTATGTAAAAGAAGAAAATTAAAAGTGAATATAGGAAAGAGTAAGGTGATGAGGATAACAAAAAGATTAGGTGACAAAAGACTTGATATCAGATTGGAGGGAGAGAGTATGGAGGAGGTGAATGTATTCAGATATTTAGGAGTGGACATGTCAGCAGATGGGTCTGTGAAGGATGAGGTGAATCATAGAATTGATGAGGGAAAAAGGGTGAGTAGTGCACTTAGGAGTCTGTGGAGACAAAGAATTTTGTCTGTGAAAGCAAAGAGGGGAATGTATGAGAGTATAGTTGTACCAACACTCTTGTATGGGTGTGAAGCATGGGTGATGAATGTTGCAATGAGGAGGAGGCTGGAGGCAGTGGAGATGTCATATCTGAGGGCAATGTGTGGTGTGAATATAATTCAGAGAATTCGTAGTTTGGAAATTAGAAGGTGTGGGATTACCAAAACTATTATCCAGAGCACTGAAGAGGGGTTGTTGAGGTGGTTCGGACATGTAGAGAGAATGGAACAAAACAGAATGACTTCAAGAGTGTATAAATCTGTAGTGGAGGGAAGGCAGGGTAGGGGTCAGCCTAGGAAGGGTTAGAGGGAGGGGGTAAAGGAGGTTTTGTGTGCGAGGGGCTTGGACTTCCAGCAAGCATGCATGAGCATATTTGATAGGAGTGAATGGAGACGAATGGTTTTTAATACATGACGTGCTATTCAGGGAAACCGGCAGGCTGGACTTGAGTCCAGGAGATGGGAAGTACAGTGTTTACACTCTGAAGAAGGGGTGTTAATGTTGCAGTTTCATAACTGTAGTGTAAAGCACCCCACTGGCAAGACAGTGAAGGAATTAATGATGATGAAAGTTTTTCTTTTTCGGGCCACCCTGCCTTGGTGGGAATCGGCCGATGTGTTAACTCTTTGACTGTCGCAACCTCAAATCCTGAGGTGTCTCCATTGTTCCAGTCGACCAAACTCATAGCTATTTCTTTAGAACTCCATTTGTTCTATCGATTGAGTACAAGAATCTGCCCATTTACCGATTTCAACTACCCAATAACGTGGTCAGAAATTTGCAATTTGGCCAATTTCACGCAAATTAAAAAATATGCCAATTTCAAAATAGGGTCCAGAATAAACAATGCAGACATTCCTGCCTCTAAAATACCATTTTCTTTGTTCATCAGTCATGTCTAAATTTCCCTCTGATATTACTCTTGCTTTTTATTTTGAATTTTTATTCAGACAAAAAATAGAAGATTTACTATTATGTGGACTACTGCAGTATTGTAATAATTGTATTAATAATGTCAACCCATTCATGACCTAATATTAGAATGGCTAGTTGGACATTTATTGCACAATAACGTCGTTTGTTTACTCTTGAACATCGGCAAAAATCAAACATTTCCCCTACTTTGAGCTCCATTTCAAGGTCCTTTTCATAGTAAAACCAATCAAAATCGCCTCCATTTCTATATGTTTTCCATTCTATCAAATGTAACTACGAAAACGAGAACATAACCATAAAAACTATACGAAAATACACCTCAAAATTGGTGTTTTAATCCAAAAACACAGTCGTTTTTTTTTTCTCATTATGCACTGCTTGCTGCAGGATTTTTTTTATACAGCGCACACTGACCACACAGACCCATTCTCTCACATGTGGGCCTACTAGCTTTCTCCTGCTTGATTTGAAGCCCCTAGAATTTTTGAGTATATGTACATCAAACACATCGGCTTGTTAAACGTATAGGGAAGTAATTCATTGGTATTAGTTCATTCTTCACAGTGGACCGTTTTCCCTTACATGAATGAACAAAGCACTGGATTCTTGTTCATCAGATATTGCATATTTATGTTAAACTTTGGTCTCAAGAGATTTGCCAGTTTGCCCTAAATAAAAGGTATCACATCTATTACAAGGGATGAAGTTTACACAACCCAGTTGATTTAAAATTCTTCCAAGGAATCCACTGCATGGACCCATGTAAACCTACATTCTTTTTCCTAGGCATGGCAAGGTGGTAGGATGCCTAAACAGTTGATCTGAGGAATAACATAGCAACTATCAGTAAGTTTAAGGCCTACAAAAATTTGTATTGATATGTTATCCACAGAGAGGTCCTTTGTGTATGTCACCCACAGTTAAGGAGGTTGAAAACTTGAAATGTTAATGTGCAATACAGTGGACCCCCGGTTCACGATATTAATCCGTTCCTGAGAGCTCATCGTAAACCAAAATTATCGGAAAGCGAATCAATATTCCCCATAAGAAATAATGGAAATCAAATTAATCCGTGCAAGACACCCAAAAGTATGAAAAAAAACTTTTACCACATGATATATTAAGTTTAATGCAATATATTTATTTTTTTTTATTAACATACTGGCCGATTCCCACCAAGGCAGGGTGGCCCGAAAAAGAAAAACTTTCACCATCATTCACTCCATCACTGTCTTGCCAGAAGGGTGCTATACACTACAGTTTTTAAACTGCAACATTAACACCCCTCCTTCAGAGTGCAGGCACTGTACTTCCCATCTCCAGGACTCAAGTCCGGCCTGCCAGTTTCCCTGAATTCCTTCATAAATGTTACTTTGCTCACACTCCAACAGCACGTCAGGTATTAAAAATCATTTGTCTCCATTCACTCCTATCAAACACACTCACGCATGCCCGCTGGAAGTCCAAGCCCCTCGCACACAAAACCTCCTTTACCCCCCTCCCTCCAACCTTTCCTAGGCCGACCCCTACCCCGCCTTCCTTCCACTACAGACTGATACACTCTTGAAGTCATTCTGTTTCACTCCATTCTCTCTACGTGTCCGAATCACCTCAACAACCCTTCCTCAGCCCTCTGGACAACAGTTTTGGTAATCCCGCACCTCCTCCTAACTTCCAAACTACGAATTCTCTGCATTATATTCACACCACACATTGCCCTCAGACATGACATCTCCACTGCTTCCAGCCTTCTCCTCACTGCAACATTCATCACCCATGCTTCACACCCATATAAGAGCGTTGGTAAAACTATACTCTCATACATTCCCGTCTTTGCCTCCAAGGACAAAGTTCTTTGTCTCCACAGACTCCTAAGTGCACCACTCACCCTTTTCCCCTCATCAATTCTATGATTCACCTCATCTTTCATAGACCCATCCGCTGACACGTCCACTCCCAAATATCTGAATACATTCAGATAATAACAATAGAATAATCACAATAGAATAATTGACACTTAGCTTTAATGAAGATCTGGTGATGATTGATGGGATGGGAGGAGGGGAGAGTGTGGATGGTGTTAGCAGTTATAAGGGGAATCCCCCTCCATTAGGACTTGAAGTAGCAAGTCCTTTTCCGGGGTTACTTCCCTTCTTCTTTTAATGCCACTAGGACCAGCTTGAGAGTCACTGGACTTCTGTCACACGACATATCTGTCCATAGAGGCCTATACCTCTCATTCCTTTATGACTTTCCTAAAGTGGTTCACAACATTGTCAGTGTACAGGTTGCCAACATGGCTTGCAGTAGCTGTCAGGGTGATTTTCATGAAAAAAGGTTTGCACTTCAAGCCACTTTGCACACATTTCCTTAATTTCAATAGTCATTAGCACCCTTGGTCTCGATGGGTTGGCACTAGAAGCTTTCTTGGGGCCCATGGTGACTTATTTTGCAGAAACAAGCACCAAAAATAGTGATAATATGGATAATATAGAATGTACCGAATGTATCCTTAGATGCGCGCACACTGGCTGGCTTGTAAACACTGGACACGTCTCGTATGAATCGTATCGCATACCGGGTTTTGTAACAGGAACCGAGGCACATATTTTGCGATATAATGCTTCGGATACCGGATTTATCGGATAACGATGGCTTCGCGAACTGGGGGTCCACTGTATATGAGACTGTTCTTCTATATTTCTTCTTATTTATGCTTTGTGTAAGGCCTATTCTTTAAAAAAATATTACCACAGTTTTTTTTTTTTAACTGAATACTGTTATTACTTTGTAATAAGAAAGCATTTAAAGCTACACTATTGCAATGAGTTGTTTATTTCAGGTAGATAAACATACAGTGAATGCAAGAAGAATCAAGTCCCTACTTCTTCGTCTTGCTCTTAAGGAAAATCGTACTGAGGGAGAGCGTAGGATATACATCCAGCTACCAGAGGATTCAGATCATTGCAATCATCATAAGAATCCAGTATGTTTCTTATACGTATAACATTTTAATTGACATGTTTTTACAGAAACATACTAACTTGTCTAAAGGAAGATAAATTTGTTAATGTAATTACATATTTTATTGCTATCCTGAGTCTTGTCATAAGTGAACCTAGAGATGATGGCATAAGATATATCTCTGTGAAAGAGTTCTCTCTCTCTCTTTCCAGTGAATATGCACTCCCAGATAAAATCGTTTCCTCTTTAAATACAGTTTTCAAATACTACTGTATTCTTTAGATTAACCAGTTGGAATGTCATTGTCCTAAACAAAACCACGTACATGAAGAATTTTAAGATTCATTATATAATATAATTTAATTTATATAATCCATAGCATAATAATAAATTGCATATATCATCCTCTACTTTGCTTATTTTTATTTAAAATATCTTTTCAGTAGTGTTGATCAGCATTGATCCCCAAAACCCTCTCCAGGTATAAATATTTACACTAATCAATTTTGAGAGTTAATATTTATGAATGCTTTCATTAAAAATTATTCTATTTTAATTCAGTGCCTAATGCATAATGAGACTAGAGGTTTCCCTGCTTAACAATGGAGATACATTTAACAGTAACCAGCTGTTTAATCAAAATTAAAGGTCATATATTGAAATGCATTTCCCATTATAAAACTGGAGATGTGTTCCTGAAAAATAGAATCCTGTACTGCATACTTTATTAACAAAAGTTTTTTCTCATTTCCCAGCTGTGGAAAATGGTCAGATTTCATAGCATAGTAATTATACATTGTTTTACTTATTTCCTTTACCTATTTATAGCTACAGGAGCAGAGCTATGTTTGTGGTGTCCCATCTTGGGGGTGGTATTGCAATCTATTACTCTAACCAATTATCTTGTATTAGCACCACTTGCTTTAGTGATGAATATGGAGAATACATTTTTGCTAATTTTACTGTAAAAAACCTTAAGACGCCTATAACAATCGGTGCCATTTACCGGATACCCCACACAAACATCCCAAATTTCAGTGAGAAACTAAAGGCAATAATAACAAACAGACAAATGAATAAGCACCACCTACTCTTAGCTGAAGACTTCAACATCAACCTTGGCCTACTAGATGATCAGCCTGTAACTGATTTCATCAACAATATGAACAACACACTTCTCATACCAACAATAACTAAACCAACCAGGCTCACTGAAACAAGTGCAACCATAATAGACCACATATGGACCAATATACTAGCCCCCCTTAAATCAGGGATAATCACAGATAGCACTACAGACCACTACCCTACCTTCCTCTTGACAAACATTAGTAAACCACTTATGTCATCTCTCACCCTAATCTTGCCACCCTCAACACCATTGTTAATGAGGAGCTGATCAAAATATCGACTTGGATGACAGCCAATAAACTTACGCTTAACACTGACAAAACCTACTACATTATGTTTGGTAGCAGAGCAGGAGATGCGCAAATTAACATTAAGATCGACAACACTCTAATTGCCAGGCATAATGAGGGCAAATTCCTAGGCCTATACCTCGACAACAACCTGAACTTCAGCACCCATATCCAACACATAACCAAAAAAGTATCCAAAACGGTTGGGATCCTCTCCAAGATACGATACTACGTGCTGCAAACTGCCCTTCTCTCACTATACCATTCACTTATATATCCATACCTCACCTATGCTATCTGTGCTTGGGGTTCAACTGCAGCAACACACCTAAAGCCAATAATAACCCAACAAAAAGCCGCAGTAAGAATAATCACTAAATCCCATCCCTGGCAACACACCCCCCCACTCTTCATAGATCTAAACTTACTCCCTGTTCAGTACATCCACACTTACTACTGTGCAATCTACATCTACAGGACCTTAAATTCCAATATTAACCTTGACCTAAAACGCTTTCTTGATAGTTGCGACAGAACCCACAGGCACAACACCAGACACAAACATCTCTATGACATTCCCCGTGTCCGACTAAACCTTTACAAAAATTCAATGTATGTCAAAGGCCCTAAAATCTGGAACACCCTACCTGAAAATTCTAAAACTGCAGACACATTCATCACCTTCAAAACTACCATCAGAAAACATCTTATCTCTCTGATACACCCTGTCAACTAATTACACGAATACCACCTGGTGGTTAACACTTACACTCACTCACCCATTTGACCATAAACAGAAATATCAATCTCAATCTCAAAATAATGAATCTTAACTAGTCATAAGTTGGCCTGTGATACTCCAATACTGAAACTATGTATAGTGCCAAAACAAAAGCATTCACATTGCTAAACTCACAAACTAGTATTCAGTCACTTAGCCATAATACCAACTTACCTCATAATTTTGTAATATTTTAAACTTAAGATTTAATTTAAGTCTGCCCGAAATGCCTAGCCATGCTAGGTGTTCTAGTGGTACACTCTGTAATTATTATTTTACTACATGTAAACCACACAATAACCAAATTCTGTAAACTTGGCATTGTAATCCTTATAGAGCATAAACTTTGAATTGAATTGAATTGAATTGAATTGAATATAATTTTTGAAAATTTTCAGTGGTTGTAGCACTTACTACCTACTATTTCAAGTTATTCCGTTCTTCCACCACTACAGTGGACCCCCACTTAACGATCACCTCCAAATGCGACCAATTATGTAAGTGTATTTATGTAAGTGCGTTTGTACGTGTATGTTTGGGGGTCTGAAATGGACTAATCTACTTCACAATATTCCTTATGGGAAAAAATTCGGTCAGTACTGGCACCTGAACATACTACTGGAATGAAAAAAGTTCGTTAACCGGGGGTCCACTGTATTTGTAAAAAAATGTTTCCTAGTATCTCTTCAACTTTATTTTTTTAATTTATATCTGTGACCTCTTGTTAACCATGTTGAAGGTACTAAAACATCTCTATTTATTCTTTCATATCTTTCTATAACCTTACATGTTGCAGATGACAAAGACACACAAGCAGTAATTGGAAACTATTTAGACAATGTTTTGTCTGCACATCAGGCCTTTTCAGGTCTAATAGATCCTTCCTGGTGATAGTACAATATATAGGCAGGATAGAGGAATGTAGCACATTATAGTCAGGTATACACAAGATCATAAGCATAGAGTAGAGGAACACTACAGCAAACCTGCTGACCCACTATAGGCAGGTCATTTGCATTACTTTGTTGAATATACATTTTGAAGGTGTTCATGTTTTTATAAATAACAAAAATGCAGAATGCTGTATACAGTAAAATGAATGATGGTGAAAGTGTTTCTTTTTGGGGTCACCCTGCCTTAGTGGAAGATGGTCGGTGTGTTAAAAAAAAAAATTAACTGCATTCTTTACCGAGTCTTCGTTCATCTGTATTTTGTTTATAATATCAGCTAACTTTTTGTAGTGTTTTCTGTATGTTGAGAACTCTATATTAATGTCTATTTCACCCTTCAGATTTAATTTTCTTTTTTTTCAGTTTGTCTTTCAGTCTTTCCTGTCTTGTCTAATTTTGTTTTAATTTTGTCTTTCTCTTTATCAATTCACTCATTTTCTCTTTGTTGTTGTTTAGTGTGAAGGCATTTAAATTCTTTGACAGGTGTTTAGTTATGTAAACAAAGACCCTGTTGTTTGTTTTACCGTTTTGCCTCAAAGTCCATATAAAGATTCCTCAACTCAGGAATCTAGTGTCTCTCTTATATGTTAGGAGACACCATGAGGCATATTACTCTATTCCCTCTACCAAAACAGGTAGAAAATTTCATTCTTTCTCTAATTAGGAGAGGAAGCATGCATCCACCTTAGTAAGTCAGCTTAATGATGTTTACTTCCAAATTCATACATGCTATTCATACTGTGTTACTCTCTTAAATTCATTATTATTTTCAATTTTAGAATAGCAAGAGACCTCGGAGACTAAGAAAATTGAAAGATAATTCCAAGACCGAGCCTCCTCTTGAATTAAATACAGAGTTGAGCGACTCTCAGTTTACTCAAACCTTCAGAGTCACAAAATCTCTGTATCAGGTAAGGTTTTACTACCTGTTTGTTAAAGTATTATACTACACTACTGTATATGGAAGATGTTAAAATGTATTGAGGTGCTGTACAGGTAAACTTAATTGTTCATGGCTTTGGTATTCATGCAACTCATCTTTTGGTATATTCCTTTGGATGGTTCAGTGAATATATCAGATTATTATTAATAGTAAGGAACTTAAAAACCTGCAAACCTTAGTTACCTGCACTGCAACATTAAAAATAAAAGGTTGCAAATCTAAAGCATAGGCCTGTCCCGTGTGGAAAAATAATAATATTGAACTTTGTGTCAGAGGAAAGAAAGTCTCCCTGAAAGCATTGAGTATACATAGTGTATAGTGTATACTACAGTGGCTCCCTAGTATATTGATGATAAAGGCTAAAGTGTCATTTGAAAACAGGTGAATTTGTAAATGAAGTGATAAGCCTATAGAGGCAGGTGCCAGAAGTCGCCAGAAACTTACCACAGGTCAGCTGTTTTTAATTAAAATCTTCCTGGCCTGCTAGTGTACTCGCATATAATCTAGTGATACCAGTGAATAGCAGAATACAGTGTTGTAGTAGCAACTAACCAGTATTATAATGGTACTTAGTGGAGTGGAGTGACTTTCATTAGTTTCTTTTTCTTGAAATACCAGACGTTACTGTGAATTTCATATAACCTGTAGTTACCAGCGGTCGCAATATACACAACGAGAAGCAATTATTACTACTGAAAAGCGCCCTTCCTCCAAAATTTGCACCAGTCAACTATAGTGATAATATAGCATTTATTGTGGTGGAGCCGAAAAAAAAAAAAAATAGAGAAGCTAGATACAGCGATTGATAAACAAAGGTGGAGGCTCGACCGTTCGTCATTGTAGGAGTGCCAGCAGTCACCGGCTCTTCAACACGCAAGTTATACTTTTGTATCAATCAAATCACATATTACTCGGGTAGATAATTTCCAGTAGATCCTTCATGTGTTAGCTCAATTCACCGACCAGTATGGTTTAAATAAGTGACCCACTGATCAGATCAGATAGACTGGTCCGAACCCTTGACTGGTCCGAACCCTTGACTGGTCCGAACCCTTGACTGGTCCGAACCCTTGACTGGTCCGAACCCTTGACTGGTCCGAACCCTGGACTGGTTTCAAACGGTTTCGTTGTGCACCACCTAGCAGGTTATTAATAGAATATTCAAGAGGTTGCTAGTAGAATTGCAGTAAATCAACCATTCAAATCATTATGAAGCTGTGTGTAGTCTGTGGTCAGTCAAACAAACGGGCTTCCACATGCATAAATTGTCATTTCTGTGGAAATTGGTGTCACGCCCCTTGTGCAGATATCCAAGAACTAGCTACAAGCAGTATTAAAACAGGGAAGTGTTTTTTGGGTATGCCCAAATGAGATAAATCTGTGGACTAAAATCACAAGGGTATTAAAAGAGGTCAACATCAAAGCTGCTTTCATAGAAAACCTGGAAGCTTTCTACAACAGATGGGAACATAAAAAGTCCGGGCTGAATGGTACTGCCCTTGATACTGGCCATGAAGTCACAAACTGTAAGGCTGGAGATGATGTCCTGGTAGTCAGTAAATGGGGGGCTGATAGTGCTGTCCTGGGAGACAGTAATGGGAAGCTGGAGGTGCTGTCCTGGGAGACAGTAATGGTGAAGCTGGAGGTGCTGTCCTGGGAGACAGTAATGGTGAAGCTGGAGATGCTGTCCTGGGAGACAGTAATGGGGAAGCTGGAGATGCTGTCCTGGGAGACAGTAATGGTGAAGCTGGAGATTTTGTCCAGGTAGTCGGGAATTATACGCAGGAAGGAATACATATGAATGACCTCATAGGGGACAGGAGCCATAGTAGGGAAACAAGTGTAGTCAAAGATAAGATAAAACCAATATTGCAAACTAGAAATACCGCAGGAAATAGCAAACAAGAGGACTCCACTAGCAATAGTGAGGATATATTACCAAAAACAAATGGTGGGAGCTCCATTGTTGGTGCTAGGGAGGATAGAAGTAAGACAGGGAAACATGCACCAACAGGGAATACAGTCACAGAAACCCAAGGCAAACGGAAACCAAGCCTGTGCACATACTATGCACTCGGTATCTGCTGGCATGGGAAATCTGGAAAAACTGATGGGACGTGCAACTATGACCACCCTAGGAAATGCCATGCCCATATGACAACAGGAAAATGCAAACTCCCTTCCTGTAAGCTTTTTCACCCTGAACTGTGTACCTCTTCAGTACAGGAAAGACTATGCTATAACTTAAATTGCCAGGCATACCATCTAAAGGGGACAAAAAGATACAAAACATCCAGGCCATGGGAAAACCTGGGTAGCCACAGCCACTCAAGAGGGAGAGTTTTTTTAGTGCCAGGAAGGAAAAAAAACTGGCAGGAAATGGCAGAAATCGTACACCAAATCCAGTCATTCCTGGAGTGGAACCACAGTCGATGGCCTCCACTCCAAACCAACAGATACAGATACTAATGCCGGAAAAAAAAATCCCCCCCCAGTACCAACAATACCACCAGTCCGATAACATTCTTCTTTGCAAATATACAGGGTCTAAAGCCAGCAACAAACAACAAAATACCTTTCATCCGTGGACTGCTTGCAGAGGCAAAGGCAATGTTCGCGGCTTTCACTGAGACCCACATAAAGGATCACTTGGACAACGAAATATGGATCCCAGGTTACAACCTATACAGATGTGACAGAGTGAACAGGCAAAAGGGGGGGGGTTGGCCTGTACATTGCAGAGTCACTTGTTTGCACAGAACTGCTAAATGCCTCAAATGATGTAGTGGAAGTTTTAGCAGTAAAGGTCGAGAACCAAAACCTAGTCATTGTGATAGTCTACAAGCCTCCGGATGCAACATCCCAGCAATTCCAGGAACAGCTGTTAAAAATTGACCACTGTCTGGAAAACCTTCCAGCTCCTGCACCCAACATCTTGCTCCTGGGGGATTTCAACTTAAGGCACCTAAAATGGAGGAATATAGCAAATAATATTGTTGCAGTAATAACACCAGGAGGCACCTCTGATGAAAAACTCACACTCACGCGAGCTTTTAAATCTCTGCACAAAATTCAATTTAAACCAGCAAATAATAGAGCCTACTAGACTGGAGAATACACTAGACCTCATCTTCACTAACAATGATGATCTGATAAGAAATATCACCATATCAAAAACAATATACTCAGATCACAACATAATTGAGGTTCAGTCATGTATGCGCGGAGCCCCAGACCGACATAATGAGATTAGTCACGAGGGAGCATTCACCAAATTCAACTTCAATAACAAAAACATAAAGTGGGACCAAGTAAACCAAGTCCTAACCGATATAAGCTGGGAAGATATACTAAGCAACACAGACCCCAACTTATGCCTAGAACAGATTAACTCGGTAGCACTCGATGTATGCACAAGGCTTATTCCTCTTAGAAAAAGGAGGAGTAGATGTAAAACAGAAAGAGACAGGCGCTCCCTTTACAGGCGACGGAAAAGAATAACAGAGCGGCTAAAAGAGGTCAATATATCTGAAATGCGTAGGGAGACACTGGTCAGAGAAATAGCAAGCATCGAACTTAAGCTAAAAGAATCCTTTAGGAGTCAGGAATCGCGGGAAGAACTAAAAGCCATAAATGAAATCGAAAGAAACCCAAAGTATTTCTTCTCCTATGCCAAATCAAAATCGAGAACAACGTCCAGTATTGGGCCCCTACTTAAACAAGATGGGTCCTACACAGATGACAACAAGGAAATGAGTGAGCTACTCAAGTCCCAATATGACTCAGTTTTTAGGAAGCCGCTAACCAGACTGAGAGTCGAAGATCAAAATGAATTTTTTATGAGAGAGCCACAAAATTTGATTAACACAAGCCTATCCGATGTTATCCTGACGCCAAATGACTTCGAACAGGCGATAAATGACATGCCCATGCACTCTGCCCCAGGGCCAGACTCATGGAACTCTGTGTTCATCAAGAACTGCAAGAAGCCCCTATCACGAGCCTTTTCCATCCTATGGAGAGGGAGCATGGACACGGGGGTCGTCCCACAGTTACTAAAAACAACAGACATAGCCCCACTCCACAAAGGGGGCAGTAAAGCAACAGCAAAGAACTACAGACCAATAGCACTAACATCCCATATCATAAAAATCTTTGAAAGGGTCCTAAGAAGCAAGATCACCACCCATCTAGAAACCCATCAGTTACACAACCCAGGGCAACATGGGTTTAGAACAGGTCGCTCCTGTCTGTCTCAACTATTGGACCACTACGACAAGGTCCTAAATGCACTAGAAGACAAAAAGAATGCAGATGTAATATATACAGACTTTGCAAAAGCCTTCGACAAGTGTGACCATGGCGTAATAGCGCACAAAATGCGTGCTAAAGGAATAACAGGAAAAGTCGGTCGATGGATCTATAATTTCCTCACTAACAGAACACAGAGAGTAGTCGTCAACAGAGTAAAGTCCGAGGCAGCTACGGTGAAAAGCTCTGTTCCACAAGGCACAGTACTCGCTCCCATCTTGTTCCTCATCCTTATATCCGACATAGACAAGGATGTCAGCCACAGCACCGTGTCTTCCTTGCAGATGACACCCGAATCTGCATGACAGTGTCTTCCATTGCAGACACTGCAAAGCTCCAGGCAGACATCAACCAAATCTTTCAGTGGGCTGCAGAAAACAATATGAAGTTCAACGATGAGAAATTTCAATTACTCAGATATGGTAAACATGAGGAAATTAAATCTTCATCAGAGTACAAAACAAATTCTGGCCACAAAATAGAGCGAAACACCAACGTCAAAGACCTGGGAGTGATCATGTCGGAGGATCTCACCTTCAAGGACCATAACATTGTATCAATCGCATCTGCTAGAAAAATGACAGGATGGATAATGAGAACCTTCAAAACTAGGGAGGCCAAGCCCATGATGACACTCTTCAGGTCACTTGTTCTATCTAGGCTGGAATATTGCTGCACACTAACAGCACCTTTCAAGGCAGGTGAAATTGCCGACCTAGAAAATGTACAGAGAACTTTCACGGCGCGCATAACGGAGATAAAACACCTCAATTATTGGGAGCGCTTGAGGTTCCTAAACCTGTATTCCCTGGAACACAGGAGGGAGAGATACATGATTATATACACCTGGAAAATCCTAGAGGGACTAGTACCGAACTTGCACACGAAAATCACCCACTACGAAAGCAAAAGACTTGGCAGACGATGCACCATCCCCCCAATGAAAAGCAGGGGTGTCACTAGCACGTTAAGAGACCATACAATAAGTGTCAGGGGCCCGAGACTGTTCAACTGCCTCCCAGCACACATAAGGGGGATTACCAACAGACCCCTGGCAGTCTTCAAGCTGGCACTGGACAAGCACCTAAAGTCAGTTCCGGATCAGCCGGGCTGTGGCTCGTATGTTGGTTTGCGTGCAGCCAGCAGCAACAGCCTGGTTGATCAGGCTCTGATCCACCAGGAGGCCTGGTCTCAGACCGGGCCGCGGGGGCGTTGACCCCCGGAACTCTCTCCAGGTAAACTCCAGGTAAAGCCAGACCTGAGAGTTAAGTATCAATCTGACATTTACTATCATAAAAATAATTAATCAGACAGGTAGGGGTGACAAATACAGGTATGAAAAGACCAGTAGTAATAAAAAAATATACATACAGGAGGGGTTTGGGATATTGGCAGTTTGGAGGGATATGTTGTGTATCTTTATATGTATATGCTTCTAAATTGTTGTATTCTGAGCACCTCTGCAAAAGCAGTGATAATGTGTGAGTGTGGTGAAAGTGTTCAATGATGATGAAAGTATTTTCTTTTTGGGGATTTTCTTTCTTTTTTGGGTCACCCTGCCTCGGTGGGAGACGGCCGACTTGTTGAAAAAAAAAAAAAACATACAGTTGGAGCCCCAGCATATAATGTTAATGTGTTCCTGAAAATTCAGTGCTTGGAACTGATTTTACCCTAGAAACCTATGGGAAAATTGATTCCAAGTAAACAGTCTTTTTCCCAAAGGCTTTTTATTTGATATTTTACATTCAGCACTGTTCTTTGTGACTTAAATTGTTTAATTAATGGATACAATTCTTCTTCTTTCAACAAACTGGCCATATTCCACTGAAGCAAGGTGGCCCAAAAAGAAAAACAAAAGTTATCTTTTTAAATTTAGTAATGTATACAGGAGAAGGGGTTACTAGCCCCTTGCTCCCGGCATTTTAGTTGCCTCGTACTACACACATGGCTTACGGAGGAAGAATTCTGTTCCACTTCCCCATGGAGATAAGAGGCAATAAACAAGAACAAGAACTATTAAGAAAATAGAAGAAAACCCAGAGAGGTGTGTATATATATATGCTTGTGCATCCAAGTGTAGTGTGACCTAAGTAGAAGTAGCAAGATGTACCTGAAATCTTGCATGTTTATTAAACAAGAAGAAAACACCAGCAGTCCCATTATGTACAACAATTACAGGCTTCTGTTTTACACTTACTTGGCAGGACAGTAGTATCTTCCTGGGTGGTTGCTGTCTACCAACCTACTACCTAAAGAACAAATCATATTAATTAAACAGAGCAGAGCTACAATGCTCAATACTCTTTTCATTTTCTCTCCACTTCCTCTCTGTTGTGATTGAATGTGGTGTGGAGTGAAAGATGTACAGGGGAGAGCTCCAGCTGCCCTCACACCTCACCTGCTGATGTACCTCACACACATTAGTAGTGGTAGCAACTACCATTGAACATAGTAAATCCACAGTTTTTTACCAGTCACTGCCAAGCAGTTATGAGCCCTATACATAAATGAATAATCTGAATGCATATAGTAAGAAACTAATGAGAAAATATCTTTCTTATGAAAAAACAGTAGGTAAATATAGTGGTTTTCCATGGGGAAATGGAACAGAATTCTTCCTCCGTAAGCCATGTGTGTCATAAGAGGCGACTAAAATGCCTGGAGCAAGGGGCTAGTAACCCCTTCTCCTGTATATATTACTAAATTTAAAAGGAGAAACTTTCGTTTGTCCTTTTGGGCCACCCCACCTCGGTGGGATACGGCTGGTGCGTTGAAAGAAAGAAAGAAGAAATATAGTGGTCCAATTATCAGAAGAGTATGTAACTTGTTCATAAGTAATTAATTGGTTCCAATGATGGGTTTCTTTGTGGATACTGAGACAGTATTCCAGAGAACTGAATTAGAATATTGCAAAGGATAGATACGAAACAGCTATACAATGAGCTTTGCAGTCTAGAAGAAGGTGGTATCAGTCAATTAATTCCAAAGAGGAACAAAAGATCTAACAACATAAAGGCTTAATAGGTGCTGGACAGCCATGTAAAAAAAAAAAAAAACTTACCTGCAGTCTTAAACATCATGTTATTAATATTTGTTTTTAATAGTTTTTAGTAGGAGAGTGGCAGAAGGAAGTTGTAGAGAAGATGGTGGAAGCTGGACTGCCTGTGGCTGAGCTAAAGCAGTATGAACAATATGTTTTGGCTTCATTGTACTATTTTGGCTCTAGTGAAAATTTAGCCACATCATCTTCAAGGTGAGTTGTGACAGATTATAGTATACTTATGAGTCTCTAGAAAGCTACTGTTAGCACAGATCTGACCCTAATATCATTGCACCATGTTCTTTGTTTTCTTGAGCTGGAATGATCAGACTAGCAATGTGCCATCAAGGTGTGTCAGGAATTGAACTCTAATTGAAACTTGATTTTCAAGAGTGACCTAACTTCCAAGTGCTTTGCATTGATTGCTATTGACCTAAGTGCACCCAGCCTGTAGTAATCTCCACAAAACACTTGGTGCCAAGTTATACTTGTTAATCTACAATCATTTGTAGGGCAGGTCTCTATGTGACCCCTGTCAGGTATTGTATTTCTTGTCATGCTGCCTAGGCTGGGTGCTGCCATCTGTGGGCTTAGTTCTCCTAAAGCTGGGTCAACAAGATGCTGTTTCATTCTCTCTACCTCCTCAAACCCAGCAACACCACTTAATTCACTAGGTGGCACCTAGGTGGCACCTTGGTGGCACCTTGGTGACGCTTCTCTTTTCTTGACTAATTCTAGCTGAAGGGGCCACATGTTTAAGCACACTGATGCAGGTCTTTGTTAATAGTAGTTTTCTGTCATAATTTTTTGCTGTTGCAAAATTATTAATGGTGTGTATATTTATTTAGGTAGTAGGTTGGTAGACAGCAGCCACCCAGGGAGGTACTACCGTCCTACCAAGTGAGTGTAAAATGGAAGCCTGTAATCGTTTTACATGATGGTAGGATTACTGGTGTCTTTTTTTCTGTCTCACAAACATGCAAGATTTCAGGTACGTCCTGCTACTTCTACTTACACTTAGATCACACTGCACATGCATGTACAAGTATATATATGCACCCCCTCTGGGTTTTCTTCTGTCTTACCAGTTTTTGTTCTTGTTTATTTCCTCTTATCTCTATGTATGTTGTAAGAAGCAACTAACATGCTGGGAGCAAGGGGCTAGTAACCCTTTCTCCTGTATACATTACCAAAGTTATAAAGAGAGACTTTTGTTTTTCTTTGTGAGCCACCCTGCTTCGGTGGGATATGGCCGGTTTGTTGAAAAAAAAAAATATACATATATGGTCTAGTGTATATATAGTATACACTATACAAGAGGATGTCTTAGGCTAAAATTTCCAGGTATTGGACTGAATTAGATATTCTGGGCCAAACACTTGGATAATCAAAACACTAACTTTCAGTGATGTCATAATTATGTTGGTCTAGCCATTAAAACCCTTTTTGCCATCTTAGGTTTTTTAATAATGCTAATTTTTTTTAACAGGTTCAAGATGAAGACTATTGATTTCCTGGATACTGTTCTCAAATTTTCCGACTTTCTCATAAGACAACAAGAAAAGTATCTGAGCTTGCCAACACTAGAGGAGAGGTTAGTAAGAAATACCAGTGAAACTGTATCCTATTTATAATTGTACTGTTTGTAAATCTCTGTCATAAATGTACTATAGTGTCATAATCCATGCTCCTAATATGTTGTATGTAATTTTCATATATGTATTGAAGTTGATACTGAATTTGAATTTTATCACCTGTTACCTTTGGATACATTAGATACATTACCTAATACAGTAGTCCCTTGAGTTATGATATACTCTCATAAAGGAATTTAGTTTTGAGTTAAGATGGAAAATTTGATGAGATACAATATATATTCGATGACCGGACTGGTGTGGGTGGGCATCAACCCAGAGACAAGAGAGGATGAAAAGGTCTTAAATGAAGTGAAAGTGGAGGGAGTGTTGGAGGTAAATGGGAGGGAGGAAGGCAGGCTGAGGAAGAAGGGAGATGGTACCTTTATGAATCTCTTCCCTGCCCTGCCTGCACTACATGCCCCATCCTGCCTTGCCTACAGTGCCTGCCTGCTCTGTCAGTGCCTCTGGAGATTGCAAGCTAGAGTCTGTGCTTGTTTACCACTCAGAAAATCCAAGAGGGTTAAAAAACAAGAGCAGGTTGGCTGTCTTCTGGTATTTTGGAATGAATTACCATAAAAACCATATGTTTTGAGGTATGAGTTAAAATAGTTTTGAGGTACAATACGTCTTCTGGAATGGATTAATATCATAACTTAAGGGACCACTGTATTATTATATTCATGGGAAGCCACAAAATTAATCAGTCATACAGCGCATGGAGAATACGAGGAAATTAGGTTTGATCTGAGGAAGTAAACAAAAGTCTCAGTTCCTTGGACTAAGAGCTCTTTAGCATCTATATACTCTCATGAAAGGTAGGCAGAATTCATTGCAGAGTATAAGCTGCAACAAATAGAGGAGTTTTATAAAACTAATACTTCTGTGTTAGATATTATACAGGATGTCCCAAAGGTCTCCATACATAGGGACTGTCAACAGTTTTAGCAAAATGTAACTTTATTTACAGATTATTCTCTACACGATTCCCATTTCTTTGTAAGCACATGCAGATGTGCTTCTCCCACTCATAGTAAACTTGTTTTAACACATTTTTCAATAAGCTTGACAACAGTGTCATATGTAATATGTTTGCCATCTTAGTTATTGCAAAATTCAAAAAGGCTGGAAGTGTTGTAGACCAAATGTGTTAACATGAGTTCACTACGAGTGGGAGAGGTGCATCCATGTGTGTTTACAAAGAAATGGTGATCATATAGAAAATATTCTGTAAATAAAGTTACATTATGCTAAAATTGCTAAATGTCCATATGTATGGAGACCTTTGAGACACCCTGTAGTAGAGATACAGTACTTAATACAGATAGAATGTCACAATAACATGACTGCAACAATCTGCAACTGACCAGCAATTTGGAGAAGAAACTTTAGACAACATATAGGTCTGTCCTAACCCATTATAACAATAATGGTTCAGGATAGACTGCAATTTGATCTAAAGTACCCTCACTAAACTGTGGATCATTTATGAATATACTTAATAGTTTAGCTCTGTTGCTGCATTACTTGACATTATACTGAATGTGCTGCTTCACGTATACTTAAAACTTCATTTATTTATTTTTAACAGGTCAGCCGTTTCTTACCATATCATTCATCTCCCACCAGTATAGGATCACCCAAAGGAAACAAATAACCATCATTCATTCATTTCACCAGAAGTGCATAGACATCACAGATAATTTTGTGAACCCCAGAAATGCAACATGCCTACCCATTCTTTAAAGGATTTAATTCCAGATAAATGGGTTTTCTCCATGCTTGTCATAAGACACGACTGAAATGCTGGGAGCAAGGGTCTGGTAACTCCTTCCTCTGTATAAATTACTAAACTTAAAAAGAAAAACGTTTGTGTTTCTGTTTAAGTTTAGTAAAAAAAAAAATTGTTTTTCTTTTTAGGTCCTTTAACCCTTTCAGGGTCCTTCCCGTAGATCTACGGCTTTGCGTTCAGTGTCCAAACCGTAGATCTACGTCATGAGCTCAGCTCACTCTGATAAACTGTGAGTGGTACACTTGGGCCTAGATATGAGAGAATACATCTATGTGGTATGTGTGCACCACATAAAACAAATCCTGCAGCACACTGTGTATAATGAGAGAAAAAAAACTGAAACCAAGATTTTCGATTAAAACAGCAACTTTGCAGTGTTTTTTCGTATGTTTTTATAGTTGTATTTGCAATTTCTTGGTCTCATTTGATAGAATGGAAGACATATTACAGAAATAGAGATGATTTTGATTTGTTTTAGCACCGGAAATGGCTTGAAACTGAGCTCAAAGTAGCAGAAATGTTAAATTTTTGTCGATGTTCAAGAGTAAACAAACGACCTCACACGTCTAATACACGCCAGCTGGTGGATCTAATACACATTCACAAATGTGGTGATGATATTTATACAATTATTACAATATTGCATAACAGTAAATCTTCTATTTTTTGGTGTGAATAAAAATTCATTATGTAAATAAAAAATAAAAATGGGATTTATTTGTAAAGCCTCAAAACATAACTAATGAACCAAGGAAATGTTAGTTTAGTGCCAGGAATGCCTACATTGTTTATTCTGGATGCTATTTTGAAATTGGAATATTTTGAACTTTGTGTTAAATTGGCCAAATTACCAATTTCCGATCACTTTATTTTGTAGTTGAAACAGTTGACTTGGTGATTTCTTGTGCTCAATCGATAGAATAGAAGTAGTACTAGTAAAATAGCTAAGAATTTGGTCGACTGGAATGATGTAATTGGCCTAAAATGGAAGTCAAAGTCGGCAAAATCGCCGATTCGTAAATATCGCTGACACATCAAAATTCGCGAGAGCATAATTTCGTCAATTTTCCATCAAATTTCGTACTTTTTGTTTTATTACCTTCGCAAAAAGATTCTCTACCATTTCATAAGAAAAAATAACAAATTTTTTTTTGGAAAATTCTTGGACACTGGGGCACCACTTCAGATTTGGGCCTTGGACCCTGAAGGGGTTAAGAAAAAAGGAGAGATGATGTTAAGTAGAAAGAGAGAGAGATGCTCCCTATACACGCGAAGGCAAAGAATCACAGAGCTGCTGAAAGGGGCCAGTATATCAGAAATAGGAAAGGAGGCCCTGATCAGAGAAATAGCAAATATCGAACTTCAGCTTAAGGAATCATATAGGAGGCAAGAAACACAAGGACAACTTGAAGCTATAAATGAAATTGAAAGAAAACCCAAAATACATACTTCTTGTTGTATGCCAAATCTAGGGCAAAATCAATATCCAGTATTGGACCCTTGCTTAGACAAGAAGGGACTTACACAGATGACAGCAAAGAAACGAGTGAGATACTGAAGTCCCAGTATGACTCAGCATTCAGACTGAGTCGACAATCTAAATGGAATTTTTTATGATCGAGTCTCAAAACTTGGTTAATTAAAAAATTTTTGATATCCTAAGACCACAACACTTTGAAAAATGACATGCCCATGCACTCTGCCCCAGGTCCAGACTCCTGCAGCCCCATGTTCATAAAGAACTGCAAGAAGCTCCTTTCACATGCCTTAAACATTCTATAGAGAGGGAGCATGGACACAGGGGTCATCCCACAGTCACTAAAAACAACAGACATAGCCCCACTCCACAAAGGAGGTAGTAAAGCAATTGCAAAGAATTACAGACCAATAGCATTAACGTTTCACATCATAAAAATCTTTCAGTGGGTTCTAAGAAGCAAGATCGCCACCCACTTAGATACCCATCAGTTACACAATCCAGGTCAGCATGGGTTTAGAGCAGGTTGCTTCTGCCTGTCCCAACTTTTGGACCACTGTGACATGGTCTTGAATGCACTGGAGGACAAACAAAATACAGATGTAGTATACAGACTTTGCGAAAGCTTTCGACAAGTGCGATCATGGTGTAATAGCACACAAAATGCGCGATAAAGGGATAACGGGAAAAATTAGTAGATGGAGCTACAACTTCCAAACAAATAGAACACAAAGAGTAATAGTAAATAAAGTCGGAGGCAGCTACAGTGAGGAGCTCTGTCCCACAAGTTACAGTACTCACTCCCATCCTGTTCCTCATCCTCATATCTGACATAGACAGAAATGTAAACCACAGCACTGTGTCATCCTTTGCAGATGACACCCGAATTTGCATAACAGTGTCATCTGTCAGACAACGCAAGTCTCCAAGTGGACATCAACCAAATCTTTAAATGGGCCGCAGAAAACAATATGAAGTTCATTGAAGACAAATTTCAATTACTTTGCCATGAAAAATTCTAGGAAATCAAAACTGTATCAGAGTTTAAAACAAATTCCTACCACACAATAGAACAAAAAACTGATGTGAAGGACCTGGGAGCGATAATGTCAGAGGATCTCACTTTCGAAGATCACAACATGATAGGATGGATAATGAGAACCTTCAAAACTAGGTATGCCATTCCCATGATGATTCTTTTCAAATTGCTTGTTCTCTCTAGGCTGGAATATTGCTGTTCACTAGTGGACACTTTCAATGCAAGCAAAATTGCAGACCTGGAGAATATACAGAGAACTTTCATGGCATGTATAAGTACAATAAAAGGCCTAAATTACTGGGAATATTTGAAGTCCCTTGATTTGTACTCCCTGAAACACAGGTGAGAAAGATACAATATACACTTGGAAAATCCTAGAGGAACTAGTCCCAAATCTGCACACGAAAATCACTCCTTAAGAAAGCAAAAGATTCAGCAGGAGATGCAACATCCCCCAAGTGTATGCTAAGAGAAAACACAATAAGTGTCAGGGGCCAAAGACAGTTCAGCTGCCTCCCAGCATACATAAGGGGGATTACCAATAAATCCCTGACTGCCTTAAAGAAAGCAATGGACAGGTACCTGAAGTCAGTTCCTGACCAGCCAGACTGTGGCTTGTATATTGGTTTTCATGCAACCAGCAGTAACAGCC